CCCCAAAACCCCAAAACCCCAAAACCCCGAGAATCAAATATTGAATATTAAAAGATAAGTGTATTATTCCAAAGAATTTAATAGGATAAGCCCTATAAGGTTTCAATTGTTATTAATCTTATATTGGTATTTTTGCAAGCTATTTTTGCTCTGTAATTTATTAGGCTTATTCACATATTTACTATGATCTAAGACACTTTTTAAGATTAATTCTCCCTTATGTTTACTGATAACATAGTCAAAGCTTTCGTTCTGATTGAGGCCCTTAGCTAAAGGATAATTTTCTTCTGCAAATACTGTTCTCTTATAACTGTTTTTCACAAATGATCTATTCTGCATCGTACTCTTGTAAATTTATTGAATGTCTCTTGAAAGCCCTAAATCATTATCTGGAAGTTAAAAAGTTGCATTTATATCTTGATTTAAAGCAGTATAATGTCTCTGTGACTGATAGTTGTCTATAGATGAGTCGTTTAGAGGAGGCAAAAAGTAAGATCTATTCTAGGATCTGTTTGCTGATTTTGCTCCATTTAATCTACTTTAAGACTGGTAGCTTTCATCTGCCATAGTCACTGCAGTTTGATTATTATGAGGATTAGTCAATTATATAGTCCTCTTTGATGATTTTAGCTCATTATTAGCATTCTAGGCTCTAGAGTACTCTGTGGGGATGTAGAGAGTATCTCCATAAACTACACTCTTCAAGACTTGTCTAAACTCAGGTCGTTCATGAGCATCATTCTTGACCTTTTATACCCTTTCAAATTTGTCCTTTTTTTCTTAATGTTAATCCTTGATTCTTTTACCAATCTTCATTTATTTTTCAATGAGATTCTTGGCCTATGTAAAGGAATTAATAAACTTCTCTTTCTCCTCCTTCTTTAAATTGTGGTTTTTGTGCATCTGGATTACATTCATCTTTTTGAGATACTTTTCTTTGTAGTCCACTTCCATTTACTTTTCTACTAATTCTCTTCTCAAAATCTTCTCCTCTTTGTTAAGCGTTAAGAATACTGCTAGGTTCTTTGACAATTCATTTTTCTATTCATTATGAATGATTTTTGAGATTTCTCTAACTTTATTTACCTCATTTTTTTTTTCCTCTAGGAATTTTTCCAAATGTTCTTTAGCCATTGTTTTTTGCCCTACTTTTAATTCTTTGAATTCCCAAACTCCTTATTTTACTGTCTAGTCTCTTCTCTCCTTCAATATCATATAAGCTTCTTTTTGTATCTTCTTGCTTTAATATAAACTGAGTTCTTGTGCTTCCTTGCTCAGATCTAAGATAGACCGAGACTCTCTCTACATCAGTTCCTACTCCATTGAATTTGCTTCATGCTAATCACGGTAGTTAATCATTATTACCTTTTGATTTTAGAGAGATAGTTTCTTAAAGGAGTAAGCATTCTTGACATACCTTAGGTCTTTATCACTAAGTATCAACCCCTAATGATTTTATTTCAACTGATCATAAAAATTCGACTTGATATCTACTAATTTTTATCTTTGAGATAATTCATGATTCTAGGAGATTCCAAATCTCTTTTTAATAGCATAAATGTTCATAACCATAAATGGATCTTAAAGCATGTCAGCTGTATGCATTTGCAAGAATAAATGCTAATGAATATCATAGGTGAGTAAAGCCATAGTCAGTACTCTTCGCCTCGCTTCATCAATTGATGAGCATTTCATTTTTAGGAAGTAGAGATTTCTATCGATGTCTAACTAGTTTTTTTCATAATCAATCACATAGTTAATTGGTAAAATCTAGCAATCACCTTCATTATAATGGAAAAATGCAAGCAAATTATTGTGATGATTAGTGGAAGAAAAGTCTGTTATCCTAAAGTTCAAATCAAACCATTTAGGTATGGCTTAAGATGTATATCTAAGTCTTAGTTTATCTTTCTCTGCTTGTTTAAGTGAGATTTGATGATTTAGCATGCTAAAGTCAAAACTGAAGTTTTGCTCTTCAAACTTCTATTGCTATTATATTGTGGAGACTATTTGCTCAATATTAACATACAAGGATTGTTCAATGAAAATTTCAAGACTTTATATTTTATCTATATGTCTCTTCAAATTCGTCAACGCCACCATCCTCTTTCTCAGTTTAGTATTACTCCACCATCTTTGAATACAAAAGGCTGCTCTCTTGTCAATAATTTCCATTATTGGCAACTTTTTTATATTCTTTCTAAATTTGTAGGCTCTCCAAGATTGTTAAATTCTTGAAGCTGAACTTATTTTCCTGAGTAAAGTTTCGAAGAATAAGAGAAATTACTAGTCACCTTCTTATTAGGCTAATTTGTTGTTATCAAATATCGCAAAGCAAAGTGTTACAACTATATCAAGAGATGGCCCCTCAAAAGCTAATAGATCTTTATACTAATCTTGGAACATATATTAATGTTTCATGTTAGCTTTTTTTCTTTGCTCCAATACTCTTCTTATATTATCTTTAAAAACAGTACAATTTCTTTTTAAAAGTACTTTCCATCTGTGATCAGTTATTTCTTTGATAGGAGAAAAGAATATGCTTTTAAGTGTAAAGTCCTCATTTATTACTTATCTATTCTTGCTAAATCTCACTCTTGAAAGAATTGTAGGTTTAACGAATTAAATTAGAGGAAACTACTTGAACTCAAAAAGATCAGGTTCAGCAACTCTAATTGTGTCAAATAGATTATCTTCTTTAATGCAAGCAACAAGCTCCTCCAGCTTTAGATTATTTTTCTACTCAAATAAAGGCATCAACTATTTCAAAATCTTTATAAACATCGGCTTTTACTCCTTAAGGAAATAGATCTTTGGATATTTCGAAAGTTCAAGAGCATTGATGAAGCTAGTATTTTTGGTAAATCTTCCCCTGTAATACTTTTAAATAATCAAACTGCTTCTTTCCTTCAGCTCTCTCAATTTCTTCTCTCTAAATTTCTAAACAATAAATCTTTTAATTCTCATACCAGCTCTTCTCTTCCTTAATTCTTTATTACTCATCATTAGATATTCCTATTTAGTGTACACTAGCATATCCCTAAGATCTTTCTTAAATTTCTTTCTCATAAGCCAGCCTCTTACAACCTTCTGTATCTTGATAATCTTTTGCTTTCTTTCATTGAAGAATACTCTAACATAATTTCTCTATCTGTAACCTCTATATAATGCTTAAATAAGTATTGATGGAGAATTCCTTTCAAAAATTCTCTTAAGACGATAAATATCAACCTCCAGGTTGAATAAATGTTGCTCGGCTGATTTTTCCTTTGCATAATCAGGAATGTGCAACTTCATAAACTCATTTAACCCTCTAAATCTATATCCGAATGAAGCATCCTCAATTCTTTCCTCGTCAGTTATCACATAATTATCAAGAGCGAGCAAAGAGTTTATGGAATTCACCATGAAATGTCTGTAACCTGGAATCGAGCAGACCGGGTTTGAAAATAATGTGATATGCATAATAGAGGGCAGAGCAGTCAGGGAGGTAATATCATTCCAGTTACTAATTCGATTATCATGAAGATACAAGAATTTCAAATTAACAAGTCCTTGAAAAACTTAGGGACTCGGTAATGCACTTATAGAATTTTAAGACAAATCTATTTTCTTGATGTTCTGGAACATTTGCAAGTACATCATGTCATGGAGGTTAATTGAGTTACCTTGTAAATAGGCGATTGTTAGATTTTAGCAGAGAGCAAGTACTCTTAAGCAGCTGGTAAGATCCTTGTTCCTGAGTGAGATTACTCTTATTTCATCCAAGGTATCACAATCCGTTAGTTGAAGAAGCAGTCCCTCATTTACAATTGAATCCAAATTACTCTGAGTAACATTTGAATGGATAACTGGCTAGTCGTTAGCCAAAGCATAGATTGGCTGCTTGTTAGCTGTCAAGGGAATACCAGGATTATGATGAATTAATGAATAGTTGTATGGTATCAAGTGAACTATTTTTTACGAAGCCATTAAGGTATTTATTTTATTTAAATTACTAGAACTTGCTATTGAAAGTGAAATAATCTAATCATAATTTATAACTTTATTATAATTCTGCTGAAATGGGTTAATCTCATATGAAGTGCTGGGCATATGATGACTATGCAAATAACACCATCCTAGATAGAGCTGACTCATCGATTATAAAGATCAATGAATTTCAGCTTTGCAAGAAGAATCAAATTTAGGATTAGAAGATTGAGATGGAAATGGTTATCTTTACCAAGATAGAAGATGAGGACATTTTAGATGATTTAGACACTCTATACTATTCGGTTGAGATTGGTGAGCATTATGAAAGAGATAAATTTAAGTGGTCTGAAAGAGTAGACTTCGATTAGGCCAAAAAGAAGAAACTAGAATTTGGCTTTAAAATGAATCACATAAAGCAAGTGGTAAGTCACTGTCAGAATAATGATTAAGAATATGATTATAGATTAAAGTTGAGATTCAGGGCAGCTATATTAGCAGGAAAAGTAACAATGAAGTGATTCAGAAATCTATCTGTAAGATTATTTTGATAAAATGCTTTTAGTCATTGGGTTCTTCAATTTTGCCAGATGTGTGAGAAAGAGTGGTGGATTAATATAGCCTTAATAAGTGGGTTTAAAGGTGTCAGACTATATAGATGTTCAAGTAGGATTGAAGGAGAAATATAAGTTTGGTGGATATAGATGTATTACACTAAAAGCTTTTGATACCAAAGGAGGTGATTTTATTGAAAACCCTGATCTCTCAGTTCTGGTTGTAGAGACTTAGAACAATACTATTGTTACAGAAATCTTAAAGGATTTACCTTTAATTTAAAGTCCTGATGGACTTCATAAGAGAATCGAAATTGGAGTTAACAACTACTCTCCATAGATTTTCATGACTTAAGACTTCAAAGTGTATTTTGTGAAAGACTCAAAAGACTATTCTTAATACAGAGCAGATGATAATTCAATAATGCCAATGGGTGAAACTAGATCTGAATAAGATATACTATAAGAGAGAATTCATAATGATTTGGTGGCATTTGGAGAGTTCAGTGCTTATGACTTGATTGAAAACAGTGTATTCAAGCAAGACTTCTTAGAATTAGAACCAATTGAAGGAGGACAAAGTTCATTAAAGCCTAAGAAGAGATCAAGAAAAAACACTGAGATTTATAGCAAGACAGACCCCTCTTCAAGCTAAGTTCATTAGTAATTTGATGATGATGATTAGTCTGAATATAAATTGCCTTTATTCAATAGAAATAAAAATCAGTAAATTGGCTTGATGACTTTAAGAAGTATTTAATGCAAAAAGAGGACGTCATTCCTAGATTTAGTATCAAATCAAATGCTAGAGATCGTACCAATAATAGCAATAGACTTTTCAATGTCTAATCTAACTTTCGATGAGAGAAAATGTATTCATTCAGTAAACGAAGACAACCAAAATGAGTATAGAGATTTGATAACCTCCATAAGTAAAGCTTTTAGGTAGATTTCTCCTACTTCTCTATTTTATGGCTTCGGGGCAAATTCAGTGCTTAGGAAAACTGAGGTATCAGATTTGTTTGTAGGGACAGGAGATTTATTAAATCCAATAGTAATGACTGACCATTTAGAACAGGCATATTACAGCTGTCTAAAGAGAGTCGAATTGAACTTACCAGTGCATATCTCAAAAGTAGTTGAGAAGTCAATTGAATTCGCCCAATAATCAGAATCTCACTTTCTGCAGGCACAGTATCAAACTAAGAATGACTTTAAGCATGGTCTTACCTATTTTGTCCTTTATATTTTGAACTCAGGAATAGTTGATGACATTAATGAAACTATTGAACAGCTAACAAAGGTTATCAACCTGCCACTAAGCATATACATTGTTAATGTTCAGAATAAAAATTTGAGGAAAGATGATATTGATACTGGCCAGCTTGAAGAAAAATGCAAGTTCTTATTTGAAAGAGGGAATAGGAAATTTTTGAAAGTGATAGAGTATCATGACCTAGGGTTCTAGACTCATGGTCACAGCGAAGTCATCCATAAACTAACTGAGAGGATTCCATTTGAAATTGAATAGTATTTTGACTCAGTAGCTGCACATGGAACTTAAATTCATATTGAATAGAACTAGGTGAGAAAAGGACTAGATCTGGTAAGAGAAGTCATCAGATAGAAAGATCAATTTTTGGAATCAATTGATGGCGTTGAAGGACTGAATCGAGAGAATGTAAATAAGCTGATAGAGGATTTTAGATTATATGAGTACTCAGCAGACTCTGCTTAGATTCTACTGGGACTTAAGAAAAGAGTTGACAAGTCTTGATTTAACTATAGATTACATGGATGAAAACACAAAATATATATGTGGTTGTTTGAAGTATAAATTTCACTCAATATAAAATAATCATTAATTTATTAAACTTCTCTTATTTATTACCCAAATGGCATCTAGAGTTTAGTTCGAAAACTCCAACGAAATCGGATGTTTCGCCAAATTAACAAACACCTACTGCCTAGTCTCCTCAGGTGGATCAGAAAACTTCTACTCAGTCTTTGAAAGTGAGTTGGGAGTTCACATCCCAGTCGTTCATGCTTCTCTTGCAGGAACCAAGATTGTTGGAAGAATGTGCGCAGGAAATAAAAATGGACTTATTGTCCCTATGTCAACCACTGATGGTGAGTTGATGGCAATTAGAAATATGCTACCAGAGTCAGTTAAAATCCAAAGAGTAGAGGAAAGACTTTCAGCCCTAGGAAACGTTATTTCTTGCAATGATTATGTCGCCTTAGTGCACCCAGAGATTGACAAGAACACTGAAGAGATTATCGCTGATGTACTAGGAGTAGAAGTATACAGAACTACTATTGCAGGCAATGCTCTTGTTGGTTCATATTCAGTCCTAACTAACAGAGGAGGTTTAGTTCATCCAATGTGCAGTGTTGCTGAGATCGATGAACTTTCAACACTCTTATAAATCCCACTCTGTGCAGGTACAGTTAATAGAGGTAGTGATGTCGTTGCTAGTGGATTAGTCGCAAATGACTGGAGTGCATTCTGTGGTCTTGACACCACTGCTACTGAACTCTCAGTTGTCGATGCAGTCTTCAAGCTCACTACTGCTGGCAAGAGCATTTTCAGCGCTGAGTACAAGGGAACCCTGATTGATCAATTATCTTGAACCGTATTCCTAACTTGATGAATGATGGGATATATCTGTGTATAAATTAATTAAGCATTTGATAAATTGTGAATTTTTCCTTCTGACCCGTTTTTTACCTGCTTGGGGTTTTGGGGTTTTGGGGTTTTGGGGTTTTGGGG